AAGATCAATTAAATTTTTAGAAAATTACATATATATATATTGTCTCTCCTACCCTGCAGAACTGGTCAACCAGCCTGGAAAAATGCTAGGACTCTGCAACTGGCTCCACTGGAGGAAAGTAGGTGTCTGTCCTCTATGACTACATCAGTGGGACCAAGGAAATGGGGACACCAGCCACATAGTAAGACCCCAGCGATGGTACAGTGATGAAGAGGTGAAAATAGAGATTTACATGCCCACATTATGAGGTGGTAATTTAGGAGAATCCATGTTGTGCTTAGGGACAGAGCTATGTAGAAAAGGAGCAGGTAGATGGGGCTGCTCCTCTTCTTAAAATTTCTATTTAAATTAAATTAAATTTTATCTGTTTTATTTTTATTTCTGTCTTACATTCTTTTCCTTTTTTCATGTTTTTTAAAAATTTTTTCCATTTCTTTTTTTGTTTCTCTCTCTTTTCTAAATGGCTGGGGAGAACACTATCCACAGAAAACTAGTCTCATCTCTCAAACCCAAAGACCAAGTTCAGATAATCCCTCAAATATCCCTTCATTCCTTCATTCTTTAGTTTCCCAAAACTTGTGTGATCATCATTTTTCTCTAGCCTAGCTTCCACTTACTTTCCAGCTATCTTTGTTTTATGCAACATCCTCTCCAAATTTCCCCACTACAGGTAAAACCACTCTACTAAAGGAAAATACTTTGCCTTAAAACCCCTAATTTATGATCTCTTCTATTATATAACAATAGACTTGTATGGTTTGAAGTACAAAATCAATAGTACACTTTTTTAGTTTTTATTTTTTATTCGTTTTAATGGGAAAAAAGATAAAATATCAATGAAACAGTTTCAAAACAGTTAGTGGGACAGTTACAATAGTTAATACATTGTGTATTGCTATCTTTGTAGTAGTTATTCAGAGTACAAGATGCAGACATGATATCTTGTCTAAACAATATTATACAAACTTTTATTTTCAATGAAATAAGAGAAATTAGCTGTATATCCTAACTGTGTATACATAGACATATTCTCTCTCTCTCTCTCTCTCTCTCTCTCTCTCTCTCTCTCTCTCTCTCTCTCTTTCTCTCTCCCCAACAAAACTGTCCTTTATTTACACTTTATTTACACTTTTATGAAGTTAACACATAACACTAGGTTGTCTAGCAACTGATAGCTAATCTTAACCAGACAGGATGTTCATCTCAGGAGTGAGGTAGCTTATTTGCTTTAGACACTGGGCCAAGTCCCAACTTCACATATTAAATCTATGAGAGCATCCTCTCTCTTTCTGTCTTGATTGAGGGAGGGGGCAACAGGTACCTGAGGTGAACTAGTCTGCCTGGAAGAGCCCAGATACATCAAGGGGAGGTGATCAGACAGAACTTAGGGGAACTAATTTAAGTACAAATTCCCAATCTAATATCTGCTTAGATATACAGTCATAATGTTTGCTTTTAGTGTCTAAAATATAAACCATTAGATATAAAAGTTTGTCAACTGTTAAATCTTACTACCCATTATTAGTGTTCTTAATTATAGTTCTGTAAATACAAAACTGTAACTGCCTGAACCACATAATCCTCTTGGGTAATAATATCGGCGCGTGCTAAGGTAATAAGTTCACCAAACTCCACACCAAAGATCAGAAGACAGAACTATATAAAATGACAAAGAGATGGAGGAAAAATGCATTCTTTTTCAATTTTTAAATTGTTTTTGATGCTATTGTTATTGCTAAGAGAACAACTAGGATATCTAGAACAGTTGTTCTCTCTTCTGTATCTCTATTAGACTCCCAGAAGAATATCACTACAGCCCAAAATTATAGGACTATGGACTGAGTCAAACAGATACCAATGTTACACTCAATTGAATGTGGGAGGAGGTAGGACTTTGGAACAAAGACAAACCAAGAAGCTCACACACAGAGAAAACATCCATGAAGACAGAATTTTCCAACAGAGTCTGTGGTACTCGTGAATAGCTACCTACTATGAAGATTCACAGAGAGCATCAAAGAAGACAATTTTTTAAAACATAGAAAATGACAAGACAAAAAAGGAAAATGTGATCTGAGACCTCTAGCCTATACAGAAAAAGTCCAGGAGATATTAACATGGAAGAAATTGGAAGGCACATGCCTGAAATTTTTGAAATGATAGCACCTGAAGTACGCAAACAAAGTCATGAATCTCCACAGAAATCAGAACAGAAATAAAATCTAAGGTAAAAAAGAAAAGAAAAATTGACAACCATAATGAAGGAATTCAGATGCCAAAAGATACCCAGGAAATTTTTAAAAATCCTTGGAAAACAAACATTATATGAATGAAACTGAAGATAGACTTTCAGACCATGAAGACAGGATTGAGGCTAGCAATCCCAAAAAGAAAGATCTCTTAAAAGTAGCAAAATAATGTATTAACCATTGAACAATCTCAACAAGATACAAGCAAAAACAATGTAAAGATAATAGGTGTCAATAAAAAAGCAAAAGTCAGCACAAATGATAAGAATTTTTTCAAAAGTATTAACAGGATATTTTCCAAGCATGGGAAAAGAATCTGATATACACTTAAATGAGGCATATAGAACTCCAAAATAAATCCACACTCCAACATATCATACTCAAGCTTCCAGAAATTTAGTACAAATGCAGCATATTAAAATCTATTAGAAAAACAAACAAACATCACCTATAAAGGAAAGCCCATTAGAATCATGCCCAGATTCTCAACACAAACTCTATAGTCAAGTAGACCTTCAAGTAAAGTATTTTAAATCTTGAAAGAAAACAACTTCCAACCCATTTTGATATATCTTACAAAATTATCTTTCATAGCAAATGCAGAAATAAGATACCTCCCTGGCAAAGAACATCTGAAGATATTCATGACCACCAAATCAACCCAACAAAGAGTACTGAAAGAAATTCTATACAGAAATGAAATGACCACAGTTCCAAGGAATATATCAGAAAGAAACCAGCAAGTATGGCAAGAAATTAAGCAGAAAGAAAAAACAGAAAGCCAACAGCAGGAAAAGAACATGACAAAAATAAGCCAGTATATATATATCAGTTATAGCCATGTATATGTCCTCAATTCAATGATCAAAAGAAACAGATTGGTAAAATGAATCAAGAAGCAATATCCAGCAATATTCTGTATACAAGAAACTTATCTTACTAAAAAGAAATTTATAGACTAAAAGACAAAGGATGGAAAACAATATGCCATGTGATAGGAACCCATAAAAACAAGCAGTGGTAACTATTTGGATTGCAGAAAATGTGACCTTCAAACCAAGAATGATCAGAAGTGATAAGAAAAGATGACTATAGCCTTGTTAGGGGAAAGCTTCAAGAGGAAGAGATAATAATCTCAAATATGTGTACCAAATATGGGAGCACTTAAGTATATAAGATGATTATTAATAGA